CCCCGCCATGGGGCCGCCCGGCCACGGGCTCCGGCCGCCTCCTGCCCCGCGCGCAACTTTCCCGGCGCCGGGGGCTCCCCGCGGGCACCGCCGCGCCCCGCGCCGCTTCTCCCGGCACCCGCTCCGGGCTCCGGGCAGCGAGCGAGCGAGCGTCCGGCTCCGGCTGCTGCCCCGCTGCCAGCCGCCCCACGCCCCCGGCCCCAGCCCGGCTCTGCTGCGCCGCGCTCCCCGCCCGGCCTGACCTCAGCACGCACCGGGGAGGCGGGGACGCGGCTGTTCCGAGACTCCCCCGCCCCCGGCAAGGGGGCCCCTGCCTATCCCGGGCCGGGGGAGGGGCTGGCCCAGGTGCCGGAGAGGCGGGGAACTTGCTCCGTGCCCCGGCTCGGCTCGGGGGCCCGGGGACTAGCTGCGCCTCCTGCCCCAGCCGCTCAGCCTCCCCCGGCTGCCGGGCTCCGCTCGCCGGGGCTGGGCGCTCCGGTGGAGGGACGGGTCCCGTCCCGGTGCTTCCCGCTGGGGAACCGCTGTCACTGCTCTGATCGAGCCCGCACGCCGCGCACCTAGCCTAGCCGAGCCCATGGACAATGCGCCCGCCCGCCGCAGGGAGGGCTGGCTGGCTCCCTGCTTCAACACGTGTCCCAGCCGCTCCGACACGCACCGCTGAAAGCGTGTCCGGCTTACACGTACCCGGCGCTTTCATTACCATTCGGGTGGGTCTGCAGGGCTAAGGTCACCCAGGCGCCAGGAGACCCACTTTCCTACACTCCCCGGACCTTTCCTCCCAGTGAGTGTGCGGAGAAGGAGCCGGGGGATCCGCTCCGGGCAGTGCCGCGGGGGAGCTCTGATTGTGCCAGACTGCGCTAAATGTAAAGGCAGACACAGACCTGCCCCCATGCACTCGCAGGCCAAACTCGGACACAAGCAAACAATTTGGGCACGAAACATGGGCTGGTGAAGCAGAATGGTTTGTTTCTAGATCATCTGCCCCGCCGGGTTTTATTCCCGGGTTTTTTTTAGGGGTGCGAAGAATTGATAGATTAACACTGGGGTAAACATGCCCAAGCACTGAGGAAGAGGAATTGTTTCGGGGCTCCCAGGGTGGAGGAATGGGATGAAAACCAGGAAAACTGAGATGGGGACAGTGAGATCTATGGTCTAGATCTCCCGAGGGAAACAGTAGAAGCCACATTACGTTGGGACGTTTAAAGCAAGACTGGGAAAGGTTCTTCAAAGTGTGCTGCGGTGTGAAATCTTGCCCTGGCCGGGTGGACGGATGAGCCTCTTCCGTCCCTCCAGCAGCCTGTGATTGTATTACTCTGACACTGACACATGTAGCTTCAGCCATGCGGTGTTCAGCCTGGCCACTGGGCGGGAGTAGACAGCATTTTGGCTCTGCAGGCCCTGTAAGAATTGTACTGATTGTAGATTTGTTTTAAAATGAGAGTCTGTCTTTGGGAGGCATATTTCTAGGGATGTCTCTTAACTGTGTCCCGGGCCGTCTGCTGTTTTTTAAAGATCCGTCCTCACCAAGAAATGGCAGACACAGACAGACCATGTCAACAGAATGTGTTCGCAACACCCTGTTGGGGCGGAGGGGGATTTGGAAACAGTCCCTAAAATCTTTAAGGTCACTGTAGGAGAGGCAACCTCACAGGCCGAAAAGGCCTGTCCCATGGAGGGCTTTGACTATGGGAGAGCCACCTTGAACCGATTACGGTAGGGAGCCAGTGCAGAGCACGGGGGTGATGTGTTCGTGGTGACCTGTGTTGCTAAGCAGACAGGATATTGTGTTTTGATCAGTTGAAGTTTTCTCAGGGCATGTGGCTTCATTTATAGATAACAACCGCAATAACTCAAGACGCGGAGGGGGGATTGGTGTGAATCAGTACGGTTGCAGCCGTGCCTGTGAGGAGGGTGAGCAGTCTTTGGGCTCTGGCAGTTGGGACTGGGCAGGTTTGGCTGTTGTTGCTGTTTGGGGCCCCAGCAGCACTGAGAAGCCCAAAAGGTCCCCATGGTTTCTGAGAGGAGAGGCCCTCACTAGAATCATAGAATATCAGCGTTGGAAGGGACCTCAGGAGGTCATCTAGTCCAACCCCCTGCTCAAAGCAGGACCAATCCCCAACTAAATCATTCCAGCCAGGGCTTTGTCAAGCCTCACCTTAAAAACCTCTAACAGAAGGTTGTGGTTATATAGGAGGCCTGTTCTTCAGCGTGCTGCCTGCCGATCTCACCTCAGTCTTACCAGCAGTTCTTCAGTCTATATAGACTATATAGATCTATATCACACCCTCCCTGAATAGAGGAGAGGAGTGAGCTCAGTAGGACTGCAGAGGTGGGAGACGCAGAGGTGGAGAGACAATAGCCTATAGTGACTCTCTCAGTTTGATCTCAGAGGAAGGACGTGAAGAGTTTGTGGTGTTTTTGTTCACACCTGCAGCAGGTTTGTTAGGATTATCTGGCAATGAAGGAATCAACACCCTCCCTTCCATTGAGGACCGAGAGCACTCCCAGTCCACATCTGTGGGTCCCTTAGGAAGAGCTCTCCAATGCACCAGGGAAGACTAGACTTGATGTGTGAAGCAAAGCCCTGTTGAAATCAATGACAAAATGCCTATTAACTTCAGTGGGGCCAGGATTTCACCCCAAAACTGATATTTCTAATGTTAAAAAAAGCAGACTTAACCCTCCCTCCCCCCCCAACTTTTTTTGGGGGGGGCTCTGCATTTTAATTTAATTTTAAATGAAGCTTCTTAAACATTTTAAAAACCTTGTTTACTTTACATACAACAACACGCGAATCCTTAAATTAGAGTGAATAAATGAAGACTCGGCACACCACTTCTGGAAGGTTGCCGACCCCTGCTATAGACACACAAACAACACAGTCCATCTTTTTTGTCTCCCTCTGCACGTCACCTTTTCTATGAGAAAACGCTTCTATTCAGATCAGTTAAAACAGGGGTCGGCAACCTTTCAGAAGTGGTGTGCCGAGTTTTCATTTATTCACTCTGATTTAAGGTTTCGCGTGCCAGTAATTTTGTATGAAGTCTGCTGCCTGTATGGATAAACTTGGCCTGGCTTTTGGCCACACTTTTTCTCTGGAAATTCATGGATAGGACATGGCAGGAAAGGTGTTTTTTGTTTTGTTTTTTTTACGGTTGTGCAACTGGCATAAGCTGAACCCTTCTTTATGTTGCAATGACCTCATAAGAGCACAGCCTCTCCCTTGTGACCATAGGGTTCAATTATCATTCCTTCTCAAGACAACTTCCTCTGGTGTTCCTTCATCGCTTGTCATCTAGGTAGCACGAAGTGGAATGCTTGCATTTCTGGTTTGAGCAACTGCGGCCAGGTTATATCCATCCTGGAGTCTCTGCACCGTCTGCCAAATATCGATCAAGATTCTGCCCCTGATGCCTGCCAGCAGCCCCCACTGTCTCCAGTCTCAAGATAACCTTCCGAGGAACATGGCAATTGCCAAAGTGGATCAGCCCCGAGGTCCATCTCGTCCAGGATCCTGTCTCAAGAATGGTCAGGGCCAGATGCTTTAAAGGAAGGTGCAAGGCTCCCAGCGCCAGCAGCAGCTATGAGATAACCTTCCCCCAGGGAGAGTCTTCTCCTCACCCCCATAGCCAGAGGTTTGTTTATGCCCTAGAACAGGAGAGTTTAACTTCTTCCAAAGCCCTGGGGATTTCACTGTTCTAATAGCTCCCCTGTTCAGCCTTGGCTCCAGTCTGTTCCTTCTCAGAACCTGCCCCATTCTCAGCCTTCCACAGCCACATTGGCTTGTTGCCAGCTGGGGGAGGCGAGGCAGAGAGTGGGGGACTACATTTTGTGCCCACAGGCCTGTGACCTGAGTAACAGGGTTACCATGAGTTTCACGGGAGATGCTGGGGACTTGGCAGCCTTGATCTAGCCAGCATATCACAGCTGGTAGCATTAGAGGTGTTTCAAAGATTCATTTAATCCACACAGTTAGTAATTTCAAGGGTCAATGCTTTGGCTGTAGCTAAAGCTTGGTGGTCGATGGAGGGGCGGGGGGAAACCATTTGGGTTTTTTTATACAACCCTAGGAAAAAATCCTTGACTCTTGTGAATGCACAGTGGCAGAAGTAATGATTCTTTAAAAATGAGTTGGGAAATAGTGAACAATCTTCTCCTCCTATCACGCAACGACCTGAAAAGCCAGGTCCCTCCGCACCTCCTGCAACAGTCAGTCATATTAGGACAGGGTTTGCAACGTGTTAAAACTTAGATAATACATGATGCAAAAATATTTTATCTGCACTAAGGACAGATAGCTGGCAGATGATGTGTTTCTTAACACACTTGACTACTTGGGTTGTGCTGACTAAGAGTATGCACAAGCAATTATATCATTAAATTTAATTAAATAAAGTTACATAGCAACTTATTTTGAGTGTGTGGGACATGCTTGCCTCTTGTAGTTCTGGTTTGCATGCTTAATAAGTCTTGCAATAAATTTTCATGGCATTTATAATTAAGATAATAAGAAAAAGAGTAGATGGTATTCCATGGAGACAGTGCTGTGGATTGATAGTCAGCCAGG